CAGGGCACACATGACACAAACATGCACACACTCACACCAGAGCCACTTTTCCCAGAAACTAATACTGGTATGGCTCTAGACTGTGGGAGGAGGTCCATGAAACCCATAGAAACTCCATGTAGATACTGTAGCAGTCCAGGTCTGGAATTAAACCCAGGATCCCAGTGCTTCAAGGCACCAATGCACCACCACTCCGTCTCATGACATTATATGCAATTTTACTTTTATAATGGCAAACCTTTTTAAATATTGTTCATATGATATTTGAAGTACAAAACTTTAAACTAAATGTGATGGCTAAATGTGACTGACTGACGTTGTTTTGTTTTTTTTAACATGGACTTTGAGACACCTAAGATGCTTTCTTATGCATAAAATTCAAAATAGAATACAATATTTTGGTTTTGCTGTTGTTCATTGTATTCCTGGCCTGTGATGCCAAGATCTTGTCAAACATCACATTAAATTAGTTACAAATGGAACCCAGCAGGAGGTTAATTTGTGTCTTATTAGAGGGATTGAAATTGGCCTTGCAAGGGATTTAGAGCTCGAGTGCCTCAGGATACACACCTGCAGAAGTTTCTTCCTACCCAACAATTAACTGTGAAAGCACAATAGCCATTTGGATGTCAAAAACCTGGGAAACAAGCATTTCCTTTATGTCAGATGTACCATAGATGGTCACTAAATGCCTAGTGATAATAAATAAAGATTGAGCAATGAGTTAAGATATTGATATTTTTTTCTGAATGCTAAATTAAGCCTAATTCCTGCAACCAAAAACATTTACTTCAGGTTATCCATACCCTTTGCATAAATTATATTTGTTAACTGTTGATTGTAATTTCTGTGGTACTTCCTTTCCTTCACTTTTACGGTAGTCCTTACAGAAGCTCCAACAAGAAATCTCAAATCCAAGACATAATGGTTGTTTTATATTGGATAGGCAGTGAACACAAGAGGCCGCTGGCAAATAATAAAATAATTGACACAACTAGAATCTTTGACTGATGAATAGAAACCTTAATTTTCATCTCTGCCTTGTCGTGTGAAGCATCACTATTTCAGACAATTATGAGAGGGCAAGTGTACTTTTTGGATTACAGAGTAAGCGTTGTGATGTTTAATGGGTGACCTGACTCACAACTGATCTTGCAGCATGAGGATCAATATCCTTAAATGGTGAGGACCAACCTGGAACACCACTTCGACATGATTTCGAAAAAACCTTCAGAGCAGTGTTTTTGATTGTTCTTACTCTTTCAACCAGGCCAATGTATGGAGGAAAGTTCTGTGAAGGTTCTTCTCGTGCATACAAGCTTTGCAACACTCACCCCTGCCCTCCAGGTAGTGTTGACTTCCGAGCCCAACAGTGTGCCGAGTACAACAGCCAGCAGTTCAGAGGCTGGTACTACAAGTGGAAACCGTATGCTCGTGTTGAAGGTAGGTCTTCTTTCCTAATGGTGAAATGAAACAAAAGCAAACTGTCACCATAATTAAAAAAACAACTTTAATGTTAGAGATTTATTTATGTACAAATTATAGATACTGTATATTGTTATGTTTTTCAAATGGATTAAGGGTTTTTGCTTGAAATGTTTTATTCTAGGAGCATCATCATAGCATAAGACAATAAATTGTTTCAAGCAATGTTTTGTTAACATTTTATTCTTCTAGGATCCTTTGTTACTTTGTATGATATACTAAACAGCATGCTTATTGTTTATTTCTTTTGTTAACCACAGAACATGATATATGCAAACTGTACTGCTATGCAGAGGGATTTGACTTCTTCTTTGCCCTCTCCAGTAAAGTTAAAGATGGAACTTTGTGCTCACAGGACAGTTCCAATGTGTGCATTGATGGAATTTGTGAGGTAAGATATCATATTGTATATAATTGAAATTCAATATTATCCACACTCCATTTGTATTTCATTAGCATCTGTGGAAACTCCCATGTTGTAAAAGATAAGATTTGGGTGTTGGGATGTAATTTTGTTTAGCAAGAATTTTTAAGATGTTTTGGGGTGGAATATACTGTATAGTTTATACCTAAACTATGTAATAAATTAATGCTGTGAATGGTAATAAAAAGTAAGAATTAAGTAATAGTGAAGAACCACATGGTATAGTGCTCTAAAAAGCTCATATAGAGTAATCTATAACTACAGGACTTTACATTTCAGACACAAAATATATAAAAAGCTGTCAGTAAACACTGTATCGAAGTATACACTCTGTTTTATGTCTAGGGGAAATATTAGCAAACGATGGTAAATACATTTCTTCATCTGCTTCTTAACTGTTTTAATTGACTCCAGTTATTTCTCTAAATGTCTAACTTCAATGTAATTTTTTTTTACTAAACCATATAATAAGGCAGTGTATGTTAACTTTATTTGTAAGTGACAATTTCCGCTGAAATGAAGTGTAGACTCATTCCATAGCATGACCGCAGGAGGGAATATATCTGTTTCTGACCTCCAAAAGGTGTTCTTTTAAAGAAAAGTGATTTTTTTGTCATGATACCTTTAATATGATGAATACTGTATATGGCTAATTTTATTTTCCTTTTAGCGAGTTGGATGTGACCAGGTATTGGGTTCTTCTGCAGTTGCAGATGCTTGTGGGATTTGTAAAGGGAATAACTCAACTTGCAAAATCTACAAAGGCCAATACAACAAACAGCACTATACGAATCGTATGTATCCAGGGTTAGATTATGTCTCTTTCTTTGTATTATTCTGCCAATAAGATGTGAATTTGAACTTGGAATTTCAGAACTTTACATAATAAATCCATTTTATGTTTTGGTTACCTTACCTTTACTATTATTTTATTTTTTTTTAATTTTAGCAACTTAGTCAGCTTTTCAATATCTACATGGAGAATGTTCTCTGCATCATGTCAGTCAAGAAAAGCAACCTGCAATATTACTCAGTGTTTTTAATATCTATGTTGCTAAGTTCTAGGTTAAAATGAAAGGAGTACTATACTAATTGAACTGTGCTGTTCAGTCTTTACCAGACATCTTCGGAATGATAAATTAATGAAGGACTGATTTCTTGATAATTACTTTGCAATATCTAATATTATTATGTTTTGACAAATATAACATTAGATAAACTGATGAATTTGCTAACATTTTGTCATGTTTTGTACTTGCTTCAACAGAGTATTACAGTGTTGTAGTTATTCCAGCTGGTGCCCGGAGTATTCGTGTGCATGAGTTAAACAGCTCCAATTCCTACCTAGCAGTTAGAAACTCTAATCGGAAATACTACCTCAATGGACACTGGACTGTTGACTGGCCTGGCAGGCACTCATTTGCCGGCACAATGTTTGATTACAAAAGGCCCTATAATCGCCCGGAGAGCCTCACTGCTACAGGACCCACAAATGAGACATTAGTAATTGAGGTAACTTTTATTTAAATTTAAAAATTTACTGACAATCAAGACAAAACAGAAATATGCCTTTAATTTTTATTTTAACAAGGACTTTAAATGAGAACATAATGTTTGGTTGTATTAGATACTGTATCTCAGAAATGTAACTACAAATTGATTATCCTTTTCAAAACTAATCAATAACAAACTCCATGCAATCATAGTTTCCCAAAGTAGAAATCATTGAAAAGCTGGAAAATGTCAAGTGACCGTTTCCTTTTATACTTCATCATTTTGAATTTTCTTCAGTTTATAATGTAATACATTTCACTCTTTTAATGGTAACCATTTGTAGAAGCAAGATCTGCTCAGTATCGAGGTAATCTTTTATGCATCTTGTGTAATATTAAAATATTACTCAGTCCTTATCACATAACTTGGCTACCTCCAAAAATAATAATAATGGAAACATTTGTAAAAGACACGAGACTCTGCAGAGCTAGCTCAGTAATCAGGAATTTATCAAAAACAGCCCTCTGCTTAACACACATAAAGTTTGCCCTATGTGAAATTTGAATTGCATGAGCTTTGTTCATTTCTCTGAGAAGTCTCTTGATATTAATTAAGGTGATTGAAACTCAAACTTGCATCATCTCCAAATTTAAAGCTACAACCTAATAAAGGTTAGGAAGATTGTTGCTTTTTTACATGTTTTCCCCCAAAGCATGTTTAATATCTGTGTTACACCAACATTTACATGTTGTCTGTAATTTCCTTAAAATTTAGCAAAAAAGACAATGGACATTTAGTAGAGAATATCATTTTTCTCATTTATTCCTTTAGGTTAATACATTTTCTGTTTTTTTTTTGTTGTTTGATTTTTTAAACATTTGCATAATACTAAATTCTTCTTGCATTGCAAACTGCTGTTGATTGTACACAGCTTATGGTGTGTGATCAGCATTTTAACTTGCACTGTTATCACAGTAGAAACCAATATATTCTTAACTGAGGATTTTAGGACAACAATATCCAACCAAAGAAATATTTAACTAAAGTTATTCTATTTCCATTGCCTGTTTTATTGTAATTTACATTCTATCCTCTGTAGTGCAATCATATTATCTGCTACAGATGTTAACAGTAATTAACTTTATGTATATGAAACTGTCAGTTTTTCAGGATACTTTTGATTGCACTTTAGTGATGAAAAAGGTTCCCCCAAAAACAGGATGAGATTTTTTTTAATCTCTATGATGTTTTATTTCACATATCCTGTTTTTTAGTAATCTATTAAAGTAAGTAATGAGAGATACTCTAGAGACTACAGTATTTTAAATATTGTGAGTTAAAATAATCAACTTTCAAGTACGTGGTTAACTCGGCTAATATTTCTTGCTATTACATTTGAACCTATTATCTGTTTCGTCGCTCACCAATGTCTACATGAGGAGGAATGCTTGTTTTTGTGAGCTTACACTTCAGAATTACGAAATACAGTATCTGATTTATAGCCTTGAAACATGCTTGAAGACATGTGTTGTGTTTCATTCTTTTCCTGACTAGAAAAATGTCGCCAACACCATTGTGATCACTGATGATATTTAGCAGATCAAGATTCAGGAGGTCTGTATGCAATACATAATAGTGATTAAAAGCTAAGCATGTTTTGGAATTTTGCCAAAATCATTAAATGATGTAATTGATGTATTCATACAAACTAATAACATACTGTAAAAGAACTTAAAACAATGTCTTATGTTGCCAAGCTGAAGGAACTGAACCATTTTAATCCTGCATAGAAAAGACAACAAGTTGACCTGAAACAAGTTTTCAAAATTCTCAAAGGCATTGACACAGCCAACGCACTGGATGTCTTCAGAATCAACAGTGAAACACAAAGCATACTGTATTTAGGACACAAGTGGAAACTACATTAACACCCATTTAAAAATGAAAACAGGAGTATGGAAAGCAACAGGTTGAGGGTGTGTACAACATGCTACCCAAACATGTTGTTTAAATACTCTGACTTCGTTCCAGAAACATATCTATGAGATCTTTAGATCAATAAGCTATTAACTATTAAATGGACTGAATGCCCTCCTCTCTTTGGTAACCATTCTTATGACCTTATATTATCTTTTACACTTTTGCAACAATGTTGTTGTTGTTTTTTTTACTTTATTTTGCCTGAGACTGAGTCAGGACTCAGTACTTCTATGCTCTTCATAAATCTTGTGGAATACTGTGACCTCTGACAGGGCATGCATTTCAGAGACCCTCCGCCCCAACAAAGGCTCCCTTTAGACAGTAGAAAATGGCAGAATTTAAAATAGAACATGCTAATTGCAAACTTAGATTTACTGTGTTTGCACCAGAAATAATGAGTCTTACCAATTTTGATAAAATTTCTTCCATTTTATTTAAATGACTGTTTACAATTTATGATTATTTGTTCATCTAACAGTACACTTTCATTTAACAAATGAAGAAGTTATATTATGAATGCAATGGAGTGTAATTTGTGACAATGGAATAGTGCAGTCCACAACAGAGAAAAAGAACCATAGAGTATATGGTTCTCTAAGAAACAGGGAAAAGGAATTCACTACTTTGGGGAATGCAGTTAACTTTGTTGTTTAATGCAAATATCTCAAGCCATATCTTTACATTTGCAAAAAACTGAAGCCTTCAAGTTCTTTAAGTTACACGTAAATGAAACATATTTATGTAACACCTGCAAAAAAGCAAATGTGTTGGTGGTAAATTCTGATGTTAGAGTGATATCATTTTGTTTACAAAGCTGCTGGCAGTTTGAAAATGTCACTTTACTTTTTCAGTGTAACAGAGGTTTATCTAGTATCGGTATCATATCCCCAAGGGTTGATTTAATTAATAATTCAGCTTTTGTATCATGTAAAGAAACACTGTAATTGATGCTGAAAGTACATTTGAAAGAACCTCTTAAATTGAAAAAACTGAATCTTTTCTTTTCCAGATCCTCCTTCAAGGCAGAAATCCTGGTGTACACTGGGAATACACACTTAGAAAACCAGATCTTGACAAGAAGATGGCTGCGAAACACAATTATACCTGGGCCATCATTCGTTCCCAGTGCACAGTATCCTGTGGAGGAGGTAGCCAATTTGACTTAAACATGAAAATACATTTGCAGTTGCTGTTATAGTTCTGCTGATCAAAGATTACAGAAAAAAGTTTTTCTCTGAAAATTGACTATAGTGGGTTTAACCTGCACATCTCATCTGAAAGAAACTCTGCAGATCATCTTCAGAAATAAGACTAAAGCTGAAATGTCAGTACAACTAAACAGGCTGAAATTATAGGTTAAATTCAAGATTTATGGAATGTGTACTCTCTTTTGAACCCTTTGTCAAACCTAAAGAGGCAAGGAGTTGCAAAAAAATTGTAAATGGAAATGATCTGTAATTAGTGTAGTATTCTGTTGTTCATAAGTGTAAAGTGAAAAAGTTCCCATCGTTACCTGTTAAAATAGACTTTGACCTCTTTTTCTTTCTACACAGAAGGCTATAATTAGGGTTCCTTAGGAATATTTTAAGTTGCCTGAGGTAAAACAGCACAGCTTGAACAAAGCTGATTTTGTCAAATGCTTTTGGCCTGCAGGTCATAGACTTCCAGACAACCCAGCTTGTAGACAACACCTTGTAGACCAAACTTTTGCTTAGATAAAGTATTTATTGCTTTTAAAATAATGAAGAAAAGTGAGCCATTTCCATCATGTGCTTAGGCACCTTAGGCACATCCAGAATATTTGACCTACTGTATAAATAGAGTGTTTTAGAGGAACAGCACAGAAATATATATATAATATAATATTCTGAACCCATGTTTTCCTCTCAACCCGCAGAGGAACCCTTATCCTTATGAATCCGGTAGTAGTAGACTTATTCTAACATTCAGAGAAACTTATAACATTATATTATTGTACCTTACAAGGTACAGTATATTTGATCAAACTAGGAATGATAGATGAAGGGACTGGAAGTAAATACTGTACTTACAATCTGGTTTTGGTCACAGGTCTCATGGCCTAGTATGTTTAATATATATTAACTAATAGCTAGTTAGCAAGCTGATAATGTAATGAAGGAACATTTCCTGCTTCTTCTGATCTACTGTATATGTTAGAAAATAGATTCTATTTTTGTTAATTTATTCTACAATGTTACTGTACATGTTTCTTTTGGGGAATTTTCCTGTAGTCAAATTGTAAACATAAATTTTGTAGCTCAGATAAACTGCTCGAAACACTCATTTGAAGGTAAAACTATAATCCAGTATGACATGTATTTATTAACTACTCTTCCATGTGGAGCCTGCATTGATGTTTTTTCTTCATGTTGTCTTTTGTTGTTCTTTGCAGGTCAAATGACCACAAAATCAGCATGTTACAGGGATCTACATATCCAAGTGAACAGCTCCTTCTGCAATTCCAGGTCTCGACCCTTCACAGGACTCGTTTCCTGTAATACTCAAGCCTGCCCCCCCAGGTAAGGAGGTAGTATGTTAAACCGTGTCTACCTATTGAAAAGTGGAACTCTTTGTATTGAACCCTTAGAAACAGATATAATTTCTTTCATGTATTTTAATTGGGGTCCAAGGCATAGCAACATTTCTTGGTTATGGTTTGTATGCATTAAATATTTTATGTGTACCTCTAGATATAGCAAAATAAATAATAGTTTATTAATAGTTTAATATTATAATAGTTTAACCCTCCTCTAAATCCTAAGCCATGAAATACAATTATTATTTTATTATATTACTGTTTGTTTTAGTCAAAATTTGAGTCATTGAATAATCTCAGTTAACATCTGTGCTCTGTCTCTTTAATTTCTCTTGAGCATGGACTTGGAAAAATCAGGCAGCATGCATTTCTGAATATGGAATGTATGATGGAGTGGGTAGTCTGTTACTGAAGACAGATAAAATACTACTTTTGTAGTATTTCAAAACCACATTAAAGACCTAATTAATGCCTCCACAAAGTTATAAAAGAAATAAGAAAATGAATGTCATAAAAAATCAAATTTCTGTTTGTAATTTTAAAAACCTAAATACCATGAGTCTGTAGCATTTTTTTTCTGAACTGAGATTTTAAAGCTGCTTGGATTCAGCAGACATAAGCACTCTAGAGTCTCTCCCATAACCTGTCTGTTTTGAATAGATCTAAATTTTCCTGGCACAAATAATAATTGTATTCATATTATGGGTATTTACAGATTGCTAGGTAGACTGGAAACAATGAAAAAGATACAAGTTAACCATGGAAATTAAACTTGTGACTTTTAATGCAATCAAGGATATTGAATGAGAATAAGCAAGAAGATTAATAAACCTATAGGTTTCTGACTGTCTGAAGACCTCATAAGTGCTGTGTTCTTGGTTCTGCTGTGACATGAGCTAGGGCAGTCCATCAACGGTCCAAGTGCATGAGATGAAATTCTGTATTTATAGATTTATAGAACACTGTAGGTGTTGAATTACTGTTTGAAATTAAGGTCTTCAGATTAACCAAATCCCTCCAGGCACCAAATCTCAGCAGGGCATCAGAATGGACTGCAGTTTTGGTGTCTCTCAAAGCCAGTTATTAAAAAATAATCTCTCTCTATCCCAGTCACCCTGTTTTATAGATTTCCCTGTGTGCAGTAATAAAAGGTGACATGGGGAGATATTAAAGCAAAGTCAAAGTCTTGATTTCTACAGATAAGAACCTCCAACACCATCTTCTACATGTTAGTGCCTATATCACCTGCCCAGCCCTAGTATCCTTGTGTCCCACACATCCTGGATTGGGCACACAATTATTACAGTACATGTTTTGGTAACAAAGGCTTTATCAGGGGTTCTGCAAGGGTTGCTTTTATTGTCTTTACATCCTGCAACACTTCTTCCAGACTGGATCAGTGATGTGATAGTTACGTGACCAACATACATTAGTTTTAGTTCTCTGCAGAAGGATGCAAGAGCCATCTCCCCCCCTTGATAGCACTGACACAGCTGGGTGACTTCTTTTGATCAGGCAGTGAAGGACAGAGTCAGAATCTGA